CTATAAAAATTTATAATTAATAAAAATTTTTAAAAAATATAACAAATTGCACAAAGCACGACTTAACACCTAGTTTTTCATATTAATGGAAAAGCATGAGTAGATTTGCATTGCTCAAAATTAGCTCAAAAATAGTATCACACAAATTATAAAAATATAGCAAGTTTTTAGATTGGATCAAATTGTAAGCGGTTTGTTCCAGCTTAAATAAGGTCTCGAGTTCAAAACTTTGTGAACGCAGCAGCCTTCGCTGGGAGACTCACCCACCATTTTCAGGTGCGCAATGCAGGTCGGATCCAAATTAGTCGGGGCGAAACCCCGAATACTGAGCAAAAACCGAAAAAATATAGCAAGTTTTTATGCCAGTAGTATATGACTATATATAAGTAATGATGCCTTTTTTTTTTTTGGTTTCCCGTCTGGTATCCGGGGCTTCGCCTCGACTACTCCGGACTCAACCAGTTGTGGCGCACCAGAATGGTGGATGGGTCTCCCAACGAAGGTTGCTGCGTACACAAGGTTTCGAACTCGAGACCTTGCTTAAGTTAGAACAAGTCGCTTGCCACTTGATCCAACCATTCGTTGGTTAAGTAATGATGCCTTGAGAGTACGTTAAGCTTGAAACTTGTAATGCAATCATATATTTCATGTAATTAGCTGTAATTACTTTTGTAAGTGTATAAATCGAATCAAAACCCCCACGCAAGGAACTTAAATCACACAAATCATTATGGACATTCTTTGCCTTCAACTTCAAATCAAATTAAATATTGTCATAACTAATCATGTCAAAACTTCAAACTTCCAATTTATAATTTAGATCTTCTCCTTTTTTCTTTTTCATTTTATTAATTTACTTTAATTAATTAATTTTTTTAATATATAAAAATTATGAATTTAATTTTAGATATGTGATGAAAAGCACAAATAACTTTACTACCAAACTAATGATTTACTTTAATTAATTAATACCTACATTTATAATTGGTAAGATATTTATCTTGATGCAAATTGCTTCTTTTGTAAGAATGTTCATACAATTAAAATTAATATATACTCCAGTTATTGGTTGAAAGGTAAAGAAGCAAACTCAGACTTAATAGTATTACCTTTGGTAGGTAGCCTTATCATTTCTTGGGTTAAAGCTCATTTGTTAAGATACATTTTATTTTTGACCATTAAAAGCTATGCTTACGCTCATTTAAAAATTTCGATTTGAAATGAAAATTAAAAATTCAAACTTTAATAATATCCTACTCCTAACTTTTTTTAACATATAATAATAAATTTTATGTCTCACAATCTTTAATCTCTTTCTATTTTTTAAAATGACTCTTGATCAAAGTTTTATTTTATTAACTTAATTTAATTTAAGAGAACGAATCAATCTATATACATCTACTTAATAATATCATATAATTGTTATAAAAATTTATTACCAATAGACTTTGTCTATGAATGACTTATTATCATCTTTTTAACATATTTGTCAATGATTTAAATAATTTAGTGATTATCTCATTTTTTTAAAGTAAAAGATCCTGAATTCAAATTTTATAGCGTGTGGGTGAGGTGAAATAAGAGATGAGAGATGCATGGTTGCTTCTTATTGTGCAACTAAAATGAAAAAAAAAAAAAAATCTTTCTAGCATATCAATCTATTGCGATGTTAACAACTTAACATATATTCTTTTCTTTCTTTTTTTTAACCAATAGACTTTCTCTATGAATTATTTATTATCGTTTTTTTAGCATATCTATCTGCTGAGATGTTAACAACTTAACATAAGTTATTTTCTTTCTTCTTTTTTTTTGTTCCTCTGTCTCTCGCTCTCTTTATATCTCAATATTTGAATTCCACTGAGAGCTTGAAATATTGAGTTTTATATATATATCCACCTTGATCTTTCTTTAATTACTAGGTTTCTTCATCGTTTAGGATAATGCTGATAGATGTTGACTGAAAACAAAGATAATCAGAATGTTTGGCAGAAAAAATTTGGAAACATTTCTTAATTAATTTTTTTATTCCTTTATTTTTTGTTTATTAGTCAAAGCAAAATTTCAGAGGTTTTATATGTTTTAACTACACAGCCCAAATAATTGTTTTTTTTTTTTTCAAAAAAAAAAAAAAAGAGACAGGAATCTTTTGGTTAAAGCGTCTTTGTTAGCTAATTAAGAGAAACTAAACATGGACCCATATGGTGGTATAACTAGCGATGGTGAAGCACATGAAAAAAAAAAAAAACAGGAAAAAAAAAAAAAAAACCTGGACTGCACTCAGCTAGCTTTTTCATTGCACTAAAAACTTGAGTTCTGTTTTTATATTCCTAAATATAATACCTTGTTACCAAACATAAATAATAAAATTACAATGTTATATAATATATATAAATTTATCCTTATATACATTTTTATAAATATATTACCAATTAATTTTTACTCATCTAACCTAATTAGTTAACTCAACTTAACCTAAATTGTCTAGCCTAATTCCTTTTCCAGTTTTAGGCTTCTCAAGGCCAATTTAATAACCCAACCCAACTTAGACGTGTATGGCAATTCATGTATCTTTTTTTTAATAAACTTATTACTGATCCTATTGAACGTGTATGGTGATGTGTATTTACTACAATTGGTTACTAGATATTATTTTACTACACTATATGTTAATGTGTTCACTTGTTTGAATTGTTTTAAACTTTTACTTTTTTTATTTATCAAGAAAAAAATAAGATTAAATTATATATATTTGATAGGGACTCCAAATACCTGTTAAAACTATTATTCATCATGAGTATGGAGATAGATGTCATTTTTTACCCCTACCAAAAATCTCCATAAGGATCCTCGTACTTGTTACTAGCAAGGATGGAGATGGAGATGGAGAGGGTATCCCTATCCTGTGAGACATGTTGCTATCCCTATTGAGGGGAAGTACTAATATTGGCAAGACTTAAGTGGGTTTTGCATGGATATA